TCGCAAAATCTTTGGTGTCAATATTCCACACCATGTAAACTTTCAAACCCGGTCAATGAAATATAAAAAATCGAAAAGTCAACTTTGAGTGGCCCACTTGAGAAAGCTTGACTCAGTTGCGGACATTGAAATATAGACAAATAAAAAGAAGGTACCAGGACCGGAATTTTATTATGTGAATTTTTAATATTATTCGCTTCCTATTCGTAGTAAATATGTACATACGTTATGTATTTAGTTTGGAAAATGTGACGAATGGTATTATATTCCAAATGATTTTCCCAAATTAATAAAAAAATATCAAAACTTTAAAGAACAACATTTGCGGCAAGGAAAATATTTAAAGAGCTGTTGGGGTAACAAACTCTCTTCTTCATAAGATTCTTAAAGCCAAATTAAGTTTAATTATGAAAATTGTATGTACATATGTACGTGAAATATTTACAAATGTGTGTCAAAGAAAATGGTTACGAGCTCTTATTTGTCATTGTATTAAAATATTTAAATACAAACATTACCAATGAGTGATTATGTATTTTGATTACATACACTCCTTTTATATTACTAAACACTTAACTTTGAAGTTTCAGGAACGAACTATATGTACATAGATACACACCTATGTATGAAACCCAAATTTTCAACTCCAAAAAAAAATAATAATTTATGAAAAGTAAAATTTTCAGTTAAATCCGTCCATTCTATTTTTTCCCACATTTTTTATGGAGGGAAAGCACTGTGCTGTCTAACATAACTACATGCATGTCGTGAGAAGTCGTAAATATTTAAAAATTTGCGTGTTTATTGAGAAGGATTTTTGTACGAGTACAGTCGTTAAATAATTATTTTCAAATAATTACAAGTGATTATATGCACATTTGTAAACACAAAATGCTGCCGGTGAACAGAAATTTCCCAGATGTGAAATTTAAGTATATATGTATATATGTAAATGTTTTGGAATGTGTGCATAATTCGAAAATTAAAACGCTAAAATGTTGAAAATTGCACAAATGGTGTAGTCATATGGTTGATGATTGTTAGTGATCTTTGCAGCCAATTAAAAATATATTTACTAAGTTGTAATATTAATAAAACTCGTTAGAAAATTTTTGCATTAATTTGTATTAATATTTGGTCTGATCCTTTATTCTTCGGTCTAAAACCAGTGAAACTGTCAAACAACAATCTTAAGGCTCTGTTATGCATACTTGGCATTGCATGCACTGCTATACCATTTTTACGTAGAAATCAAAAACCAACAGACTTCTACGTATGTAATGCTGTGCGTTGGGTAACAGCTTACACGCGAAGCTCATTTAACAGATTCCTTATGTGACAACTCTCAAGCAATGCCAAGTATGCATAACTGAGCCCTTACACTTTTAAGTGAGAGCAACGGGAGAGCAACTATATACATAGAAATATGTACAGGAACACAAAAAGCACTTTTTCCAGCGTCAAATTATGTCAGAAGTGAAAATATTTTGTTTTTGTATTTCTCCTCCAGCTGTTTGAGAGTAGAGATAGAAAACTATTGACAGTAGTGACTATTGATACTTGCTTAATGTATTGATGAACACTATCGATACTATCGGCCATATTTAATTTATAAGAAAAACTACATTTTTAATAAAATATTTTTGTTGTATTAAGCTAAATGTGCTATATGCTGTACATACATTTTTATTTGTTTGTATAAACATTTTTCTGCGAAAAAGGTTGTCCAGAGTTCGGTGATTATTATTAACTAATCCGGCCTTACTCGAAAATCCCTCTGACCTTACAGACGATACTGGGATGCAAAGGTATTTAATATTGTAGAGGGATATAAAGCAGACGATATTGATGATCCGTACCATAAAGTAAATAAATCAAACTTCCATCATTCACTTTAATGTTCGGTTGAAGATCGATAAAAGAGACTGATTCTTTGTATTTTGACGTTTTGGAATGCACCCAGAGTATTCGATTAGCAAACCATAGATCCCCGGTTCGAATCTCAACTGGACGCTCCTAAAACTCGTTCGGGTATAAAGAGGTAGTATTAGTCGCATGTTTTTTTTTTTCGGGATTAATCCCCGAGTAATCCCACATTTGACGTCTTTGTTAGGGCATGTAATTTCTATGAAGTATATTAGGGTAGTAAAAAAAATGTAAAGTCGAAATTTTAACGTTCTCACCCTCTAAGATTGTTCTATACTGAAAATATATAATAACTATTTTTTTATAGGTCGCCCAAAAACCCCAAAAAATGCAATGGGGAAGAACCATACAAATCGTTAGTACTAGGAAATGCCAAAATAAAAATTGGGTATTTTTATCGAAAGTCTCCCGAAGAGAAACAAGAATTTTAAGAATTCTATACCATTCCTACAAAAAAATGTTTTTTTTTTGCATATAAAATACGTGGGAAGCTTTGAGCGCTTTGACCGGCCCCTAAATACTTTTTTCTAGGGAGCGAGAGTATTAAAACTCCAACTTTACTTTTCTGGATCACCCTAATATTAATACTTATCTACTTACTAAAAATTACTAAACAAGTATCTCTATATTACTTCCTCACTGTTAACTCACGTTCGACAATTAACTGTCAATTTTAATTTACCACCGAATGAGAGTTAACTCCTCATTGTTAAAAGCGAATAGCCATTTTCACAGCGACGACTTTCAATGATCCAGAGATAATAATAATAGTAGATTGGCGGTTACACAATGTGTTAGTGCTTGGCCGAACTTCTCCTCCGATTCGTAGCGGTTATATAGAAGAGTAGCGTAATAAATATTCTCAAAAATCGTAGTAAACCTATTAAAATCATAGTAAAGGTAGCCTGTGCTCTGCAAACCATTTTCTTCGTTCGTTCTTTTTGTACAGTTATCGTTGCCGAGTACTGAGAGGTGCGCACTACCATTAGGTAGTACCCATGTTCGATTCATAAGGTAATCATCTATCCTAGAATAAGCGCGCTGAATGTTTAGTTTGAATGCTTAGCGCTCTCTACGTCAGAAGGAGACAGGCGCATCGTTCCCCGTTCTAATTAAGGTAAGGATCTAGAAGCGACCCAGGGAAATGGCAAACGCCCGAGTGTATTTTTGCCACGGAAAGCTTTTCGTAAAAAGACATCGGATGTAAGAAGGCGGCGGTAAACTGTACGTTCCTTCATTTGTATGAGAACATCAATGCACACTCCACAAATCGGAGGAAAAACTTGGAAAAGCGCTTAGCAAGTTGTGTAAAGTGGCAATTGTTGTTTGTCTTTTAGATGGCGATTTATAGCTGAATATTGAATAGAAAAGAGTTACGGGGTATGAAACAAACACGAACTCGCGAAAACGAGTCGACATAATTTGTTGGATCTAGACTCTTTCCCTAAGCAAAACGCTATATTATATTACTATCAAATAATTAAATTTTGATTAGTTTTTAACGCAGATTGGAACACTGGTGTTTTATGTTACTTATAAATTTTTTCCTGTACAGTGTGGAGTCTGTGTTTATTTTTGGCCTTTGTACATTGTATTTCGAGCCTTTTATGATCTGCCTATTTCTAGTATGCAAAGTAAAATATTCACACATTACTTTCAATAAGAAAGTAGCGGCTTATTTCATAGAAAAAAATAAAGCTAATCTTACAAAAAGTCCATAATATTTGAACGTATAAATAATTTATTTCCATATTTTTTTTATGTAGTTGCATTTGTATCTCTGCTTTATTATTTATAATCCGATTCGCATCTGGAAATTTTGAGGACCTATCGAATGAGGTTAGCTCGATTTCCTCTATCCTAATGCTAG